TGGGGGGGGGGGTTGGATATGGAGGGACCAAGGAAGCCAGCCCAGAGAGCGCGGAGCGGAGGCAGACAGGGAGTCACAGGCTCTTGGAGTCCCTTGCCATGATTCCACATTGGGGGCGAGGGGCGGCTGTAGCTTAGGCATCTTGCATCTCAGGGGTTCAGCCCACCACCCGTGGAGACCTGGGTGTCCCCTCCCCCCCCCAATCCAGCCCCCCCCCATCCCCAGAGGCCCAGGAGGTGTCACCTGAGCCAGAGGCAATGGAGGGGAATGGGCTGGGGTGGCCCACAGGAAGGCCCTAGAGGAGAAAAGATGGTACCACACTTCACCCTCCTGGACAGGGAGCCTGGGACCCCAGGTCTGTCCCCTTCTCAGCACTCAGGCCCCGGACTCTCTGCAGCCCCTGAATCCTGCCCCTGCTCTCCCTTTTGCTCTCCTCCTTCCTCTTTCAGGAAGAGTGGAAAGATGCCTTCCTCCCTCCCACTCCCCCCAGTTTTCCTCTATGCCATCCCCAGCCCTCCCCTTGCCACAGCATGCCATCCTTTGGCCCAGACAACGTCCAGGAGTGCCCTGTGAACCCAAAGCATCTGGGAAAATGTGGATTTCCTTGAGCAGAGGCAGGTGTCAGGCTGGGGTGGGGAGAGCAGATGGAGAAGGGGCTTGTGGAGAAGACAACACTTGGAGAACGGGGCGGGGGAGGGGGGCCTCTCTGGGTAGGGAGGCAACTCTCAAGTCTCATTTCTTTGTTTCAGGAACCAGTGTTTGTAGCCGGTGACTCACCCCTTCTCCCCTTCTCCGGCCTCATCAAGAATCAAATCTGTGCCCAAGGACCCCCTGCCCCTAGAGCTTCCTGGTCGCAGCTGAGTGAAGGGCCTGGCTGAGGAGGAGATGAAGGGCCTGCCTGGCAGAGGCCCCGAGGTATGGGGCAGCCCAGAGGGCCGGTTCTGGCATGGGGAAGGACAGGACGGTGTCACCTGGGCACTGAAATCTCCTAGCACACCATGAGGGTGTTCTGTTCTCTCTCCCTGCTGACATGGGAAACGGGTTCTGGGAGGGGGGCTCACCTTTGCCCTTGTCACACAGATAAGGGGTGGTGGGGCTAAATCTTCCCTAAGGCCTGCACTTCCCCACCCGCACTCCAGGCTTCTGGAAGACCTGGCCCAGCGGGATGGGGCAGGGGCTCCCAAGGCTCCCAGGGGAACTAGGGAGAGAGGTTCAGGGTGGGGAATGTGGGGAACTAGCTTTCCTTGGGGTGGTATGGGCGGTCACAGGAAACACAGGCGGACAGTCTGAGCTGAGATGGGCACAAGAGAGATGAGTCCAAGGACCCCCTGGCAGCTAAGGTCCTCATCCACAGAGCCAGGTCTTCCCACCCCACCGCAGGCTTAGCCAAGGGCTCCTGCACAATTGGGCACAAGCCTCTCAGTTTGGGTGGGGGAGGTGGGGGTAGCTCCTGCGGACATGATGTGCCCAGAGGGTAAAGGGTGAACTGGGGGGGGGGTGGAGACAGGAACCATGCATGACCCACCTCTCTGTCCCCAGGCTCGGATCCCTCACACCCAGGATCACACAGGAGACTCCTCCAGATGGGCTTGGACTGGTCCTGGAGGCCGGGCTGTGCTGCTGACTGGTGCACCAGCATGGCCAGAAACAGCCCAGAGGGGAGCCAGGAGAGACCTGGCCCTCACCACCCACCCTCGGTCCCACATCTGCTCTGACACTGGTTGCTGTCAGCCCAGGTTCTCAGAGCTCCTGAGACTGAAAACCACAGGAGTGTGGTCAGCCCAAGGGACGGTGTGGCCCAGTCTCACAACATCTGCCCTACTCAGCTGCCCAGCTGGAGCCTGGGGCCTGGGTGAAGTCCTCCTCCTGCCTCACCACAGGACTGGGGACCCAGGCTCCCACGTGCCCCCTGCAGTTTCCCACTAACAGGGCCTGATGGCTTCCTTCCTTGTGCCAAGTCGCCTGGGAGTCCCTGGTCCTGGTGGCCCCTCCACCCCAGCCCTGTCCAACCAGGACCACTTCTGGGAGCCTGCCAGCCTGCCTGCCAACTCCATCCGTAGCTCTCTGGGGACAGCCGCAGAAAAAGGGGAGCAACACGGCTGTATAAGATGGGAGGAGGACCAGGGGCCTCCTTGGGGATGAGACACAGATGTGCCCCTTTCAAGCCCAGGTCTCACCCTCTGGGTGACTCCATCCTCAGCTCCAGCCTCTTCCTGGGCTGGCCAGGGAGGAAGAAGACCTGAGAATGGCATGAGGGAGGCTCCTCACTGAATGTGTGCTGGTGTCCCACAGGGAGAAATATGTCTCTGAACCTCAGGGTCCCCTGGCCCCATAGACCTGCTCCCCTGCCAGGAAGCTCTTCCCCATCCAGGGGACACAGGAAGTCCGCTGTGGCTCTGGCTGTGGCTGTCTCTGCTCAAAGGGAATGGCTGGGGGAGGGGCCAGCCACCAGTCCTTAGCCTGTTCCTGTGCTGCTTTTCTTACCATTTTGGCCTTGAGTAGTGTGAGCTGCTTCTGCTCTCCCACCTCCCTCCAACCCCACTGGGCCCTGGCTGCTTGACTGGCTCTCAGTGCACTTTACTTGTTAGTCATCTGTTTTCCAGGCAGCGGAAATTCTACGCAGAGACACCAACCTGAATAGGATAACTCAGTTTTCTGTGTGTGTTCACTCTGTACTGGTCAGAAATGTTCTTGTTTCTGGTGTTGTCAAAACTTGTTGTCTAAGTTATTAAAAAGTCCTTAAGTTCAATAAAATAAATAAAACTGGAAGGCTCCTGTTTCTGGTGTGGTGCAATAGCCCTGGAGGACAGAGGGGCCAGTGGTGAGATCACTGATGCCCAGGAGCTGGGGAAGGGAGCGCCCTCAGAGGGCTACAGGTGGGCAGGGCCTCCTCAGGAGGCACTGGGGACCCCACTGGCCCTGGACCACTGCCCCCATGAGGGGAAGGCGGCAGCATAGGCCTGGCCCCGCAGGTGGCAATTGTCCCACTCACAACCTTGTTTGAAGAAACTAATACCCAAGTCTCAGCTTCATTTTAGAGCCTGGTGTTACAAAGCGCTTCAGTTGAAACCCAAGGGTGGGATGAGGGAAGTGAGGTGAAATTGTCTGTCTGCAGATTATTGTGTTTCACCAGAAGCCCCTCTGCAGCAGCAGGTGGCAAGGTCCCCATCGCCTCCCTGCCAGCCACGTGGGTGCAGAGTTTTGGAGGAGATAAACCACAGGGAAAGAAGCTTCCCTTCCCCCCACCTTAGATCCCAAGTCCCATTGGAGCTCCACTCCCAGTGCCTCCCCAGAGAAGACAGGCCAGGGGTGCTGCCTTCTGAGGCTGCTGCAGGGGAGAGGGTGGCAGGTGGGCAGAGGTGTGAGTCAGGAGGCCTGGGAGCAGCGCAGTGGCCAGGAGAGAAAAGCAGGTCCACATGCCCCAGGAGGGAGCCGTCTCCAGGACGCAGGATTGGGGTGACAAAGTGGAGCACAGCCTGGGGAAGGGCCCTGGGTGCACTCCTCATCTGTCGCCAAGATCTCCCCAGGGGTCAAAGCACCCTGACAGCACAGACCCTTTCAACATCTGCCACCACAGGAAGGAGGGACACAAGTGCCCTGAGCTTCCCACCCTTTGTCCAGATGGTCCTGTTCAGTCCCCGATGGTCTCACACCCACTCCCGGGATCATGTGGCCTGGCACACCAAGATGGGAGAGGATCAGAACAGACCTCCAAGGCCCTCTGAAGAGGGAGGGCCACCGTTCCCGGCCAGGCACACCCTGTTCTGGTTAAGACCCGTGCCCTGGCCCAGCTGGCATGGCTACCTATGAACCAGGAGGTCACAGTTCGATTCCCAGTCAGGGCACATGCCCAGGTTGCAGGCTCGATTCCCAGTGGGGGGTGTGCAGGAAACAGCTGATCAGTGATTCTCTTTCATCATTAATGTTTTTATCTCCCTCTCCCTCTCCCTCTCCCTCTCTAAAATTGATAAAAATATATTTTTTTTAAAAAAGACCCATGCTCTGAGCCCAGCTCCTCCTGTGTGGGCATTCAAGGCGATGTTGTCTAGTCAACATTTGTCCTCAGGCCTTATCACTCTGAGGAGAGAAAACCAGATGAAGGGAACTGGTGTGTAATGCGAACCTACCAAACTCCTGGCACTGTGATGGGTGGTTTGCTGCCATCATCTATATATATAAAAGCCTAAGTGACCGTCCAACCATCCAACCGGTAGCTATGACGTGCACTGACCACCAGGGGGCAGATGCTCAATGCAGGAGCTGCCGAGCTGCAGTGACTTGGCAGCTGTGGTTCTCAGGTGACCCACCCGGAACCAGAGAGGAGAGCACCAAATTCCAGGGTGCATCACCTGAGAACCATCTCGCAGTCACAATCCGGGACCCCTCGGGGGATTTTGGAGAGCTGGTTTTGGCCCAATCCCTGCAGGCCAGGCCAAGGGACCTCACCACTGTAAGAATCCATGCACTAGGCCTCTAGTTTTATTATAATTCCACAGCCATCTGCTGGAGGAGGTCATTGAGAGGATGTGACCACCAGTTGACCCTTGAGCTGGACCTGGACAATTAGGCCCTTTACCCTCACCCTTGTCCTTGGATTGTACATTCTGCCCACCATTCCCATAGGCAGAGCTGTTTCAAAGACAGAGCCTTGAGAAAGTGAGGTGTTGAGACCATCTGGACAATAGAGTGACTGAACCAGTTAGGGCACCTATACAAGCTTTAAGATTCTCACAATCACCCGACAATCCTCAAATGTTAGTTCCCTAGCTTATTTAACCTGTCCCCCACCAATCTGACTGGTCTGTCTCTATTCACTCTCCCCTTGTCCTCTATATTCATTGAGGTTGGGGGATGCATAAAATTTTGACTATATATCTTCCTAATAGATATATTTTATCAGTATAAACAGCCCCTCATGGACATGCTTAATGCATGATTCTTTGATTTGTTTTGTTGAAAATTGAAAATGCTATTTACTCAGCCATTTCTCCAAGGATTCCTGGTCCTTCTTATTGGAGACCATCATGTTTAGAAGCCAAAATCTTATTTCTGTATCTGTTGAAAACCATGAGGTTACAGCAGCACCTTCAGTGCCAGTCCAACAGCACAGGGATCACACCAGATTTCTTTCACTTTTCACCTTTCCATGTCTTCTGGCAGGAGAACCCAACCTCCCAGTATCCTCAATATATTTACTTATTTGCACAGTCCTTGTGTATACACTTTGACCCTGCTGGGTAGCCTTTTCATTATACTCTAATTCACTCCTCTCACTGGCCCTGGCTTTCACTAGGCCACCTTCACACCTTTTTTGGGCAGGAACCAGACCACCATCCTACCCTCAGTGACATACCAATTAGGAACAAACTGCTAAGACTCAGCCATCCCTGCAGGGGTTCAAACTCTATTGGCAGAGAAGCAGCTTGGAGACTCTGACACCAGGAAGGCCAGGTCACTGCTGGGAGAGGAATGCTCACCAAAGAGGAATCACTTCCAAACTGCCAGCCTGTGCACACTGTGAATTTACTCCCATGGGAGAAAGCCCCTTAGGGGTTGGAGTACATAGGTCAGGAATGACTGCAGGGCTAATGGACTGGGTGAGACTAGCCTTCTGCCCTCCCTTCCCTGGTTGTGTCTCCTTGACACAGCTGTAAAATGAACTTGATAATACCACAACTTGTCTGACGGGAGTTTTTTGAGGATTAAAATGATGAATGCCCTTAAGGCCCAGATGTGATGACCACAGAAAATCTTCTCATGTTTTTCCAGATTCCCACCAAAAATATGAAGCTTCAAATTGTCCACTGAGTCATCAACTCAGTGCCATATTTGGGGTAGGTTTTTAGAATATAAAGGTGAGCAAGATAAATATGTCCCCTGCCCTTTGAGGGGCAACAGATATATGACTCCTCCTCTTGGCTTCAAATAGTCCACTGAATTCCATTGTATCAATAAGGCACAAATTATTTATTCATTTGCCTAATCCAGCAGCATATTGAAATATAACACACTGCAATTAAATGAAGTTTATCCCAGGAAAGCAAGATTGTTTTATCAATTAAAAATCAATCATGCGACATGCCATACATACTAACAAAAAAGGAGAGTGGAGGAGAGAGAATAATGGTCCCTCAAAGCTGCCTGTGTCTCAATACCCAGAATTTGAGAATACTTTGCTACAAGGAATTAAAGTTGCAGATGACACTATATGGTTTCTAATCAATTAATCTTAAAATAGAGAGATTGTCCTGGATTATCTCATCACATAAACTGATAAAAGTGGAAGAGAGAAACAGAAGAGTGGGTTAGAGAAATGCCATGTGAGAAAGACTCAAACCACCGCTGTTGACTTTGAAGATGGAGGAAGGGACCAGGAGCCAAGAAATATGGTGGCTTCTAGGAGCTGGGAATGGCCCCCAGACAGCAAGACAATGGGACTTGGATCCTGCAACCACAAAGAACTGAATTCTGCCAACAGCCAAATGAACAGGAAAGGGATTATCCCATAGACTCTCCAGAAAGGAATGTAGCCTTCCAGTACCATGATTCTGGTCTGGGAAGACCTGTACCAAATTTCTGGCCTACAGAACTGTGAGATGAATTTATGTTGTAAATTTGTGCTAATTTGTTAAGACAGCAAGAGAAAACTATTACAAAGAGAAAAATCCCTATGATCATCCCAATTGAATAAACGCAGGCCCTGCCCTTCTAGGACAGATATATGACTGTCCACCTGGCGTCAAATACACGTGTGTTTGAAACAAAACCAAACGCACCCTCTAATGAGGGCAGCACACTGTGCTGGAAATACAGAAAATAATCTGCTGAAGGAAATGCAGGGGAGGGCAGCAGCCCCAAGGGCCTTCTCTGCCTCCATCTTTGCCACTTTGGATGGACAGGAGAGTCTGGGGCTTGGGGTGGATGCAGGCCCAGCTTGGGGGACACTAGAACTCCAGGACTTGGGGACGCCCCTATGCACACAAGAGTTGGAGCCACCTCCCCACCGGCTCACCACCCACCCACCAACAACCTGACCAGGGGTGGGGGAGCCCTTCAGGGGAAGGTCACTGTATGGGGAAATGAAGGGACTCAAAGAGTAACTGGCAGGGCCCTGGCTGCCTCAGGAACTATCACTCCATGGAGTCTGCCCTCCTGCAGAAGAAGACCACAGCCGTGGTCAGAAGCTTGACCATGGCCTGGGCACTCACCACAGAAGAAAAAGCTCACTGTGGTGACAGAGGCCTATCAGGGTCCCCGCCTCTTAATTCACTTGGTTACTCAGCCTCTAGGTCTCCCCACCCTTCTGCCCTGCTGCCATCACAGGAGCTAGCCCACCAAGGCTACAGACTCCCTACCTCTTAGTACCTCTCCTGCAGGGTCTGTGCCCATCAAGGTCTGGCTAATGAGGGTGCAGCAGGAGGGTGAGATCTTGGGCCACCAATGGGTAATGGCCAGGGCTGTCTTGGCTCCTCCCATCATTGGGAAAGGCACAAATATTGTGGCCAGTGGGCTGGGGTCTGGGCCCTGTGTGTGCTTCAGGGGATAGAGGGGCTTGCTTCTCTGTGAGGTCGCTGGGAGGACGGGAGGTGCGGCTTTTTGAGCAGGACTGCAACCCTAGAAGAGGCTGGTCGCTCCACACCACCAACACTAGGATTCCGTTTTTCCTGCCTCATGGACAGCATTCTCGAATGCAAAGTAGGGAGACCAGGCAAGACCTGGTGCAAACACCCTAGAGATACATGCCATGACCAAGTGGAATTTATCCCAGG